AATGTTTGCTTAAACAAGGAATCCTAAAGTTCTTTGTCCGCGTTCAGCAATGATACCTGATTACCTATGGATATGTAATCAATGATCATTACGATAGGTTTACAATAGGTTTGTTTTTAGTTGTAGCCCTTCAGGCTTATAACTTATAAGAATTAAAGTAAGATAAACCTGTGTTTAATTTTTTAACTTGTATTACAAAATAGGGAAATTTATTCATTTATTTTCCATTAAAAATTTATAAAAACTTGTAATCCTTCAAATCTGTAATTTGACGAACATAAGTATATGTAACATACATTTTCAATCAATATCATATTGATTACAGAAATTATAATTGATATGAATATCCACTTTATGTAAATAATTATATGAAAAACAGGTGATTAGTTCTAATACACTTCACTTGTACATCGTAAAAGCTCTGAAATTGGATCCTCCTCGAACTAAAAAGAAAATAATTTTTTTTGTACTCCAAAATAAAGTTGCTTAAATTCAAATTTATCTTACCACTTTATTGTCTTCCAAATAGCTCGTATTTCCGATCACTATCAGTTCAAATGGGTTGTCCGAAGTAAAGCCATTCTCCTTCAAAAGGTCAATAAACAAGGACATGCTCGCTTTTGAAATAATGTAAGAGCATTTAGTTTGCACGAAAAGGTATTTTAACATCTTGCAGTCCCTTATTACAGTAACCATACAGCGATCGAAGAAGTAATCAACAACCAATTTAGCTTTTTCCAATGTCCTTCCATGTTTTGACAACCAAATTGCATAATCCGGAGCACCTGTGTCGTCTATCTCAACATATCTTAGCATTGGAAATACAGGAGGTTCATACCTAATGTGGCAACAATCGAGGATTAGCTTTTCTACAAATTGGAATGACAGCCCACAATTCTGATATGGTTTATTTATATGGTATCCACTTAGTCGGAGAGATCGAAGTTTTTTTAGAGGCGAGCAAATTTCAAAAATATTTGACATTTCGCAATCGTCCCAATAATTATCAGTGAGATCCAACTCTTCCAAATGGGCCAGTTGCCAAATAAGATGAACTGAAAATAAATTTAATTATGGCAAAGACGTTCTTCATAACGTTCAAACTCACTGACCTCTTTGTTTGGGTATACATATCTTTAACTTTCTTAAATTAGGTAATTGATGCAAAACATGTATGGTGTACTCCGGGTCACACTCATCCAAATTTTCACCAAATGACAATTCGACGGATTTCAGATCCTCAGATTTCAACAGCAAAGAACAAAGAGCGTTGACATTTAGTTTATTGACTTCTATCTGAATATGTTGCAGTTTGATGCAATGCTTTTGGATTAATTTTAAGATAGGACTATTGTTTTCGGCTTTATATCCACAACTAAAATAAATTTCTAGCACATTGGATCCGCATAAACGGAAAATCAGCGACCAATCGTCCACAGGTTGTTTACTAAGGTTTACTTTCTTGAATAGATCTCCGGCGTGGTATCCGAATGCCTCTGCCAAAATCTGATGGGAATCGGCCAATCTGAGTTTGTGGGATGGAGATAGTTCCTGGAAGATTAAGTCCAGAACTTCAAGAGGCAGATCCAAAAGAGTTTTAAGATTCTCCATTTCTTGCAGCCAAAACTTTTAATTATCTGTGAGAAACGAAATAATAAAGCGAAGCTACCAGGGCTGACACTAAATTGTAAAAATATCGATATACAGTAAAGGATCGAGATTCTCACCATATTTTCCAAATCGATAAAAAACACGAACTACTAAAAAGCCTTAGCCATAACGCTGCTTTCACATCAAAACCTGCATTGTTAACGTTCGCATCAACTTAGTCGAAAATGCGATTTTAAAGTCCAAGCGTAAGAACAAACACCAAATAATGGAAAGACGGAGAAAAATGAAGCCGATTCTAAAAGTTGAGTGGTGCAAACATTACTGTATAAATATTTTTTGCAACAGCGACGGCCTATGTGAACAATTTGTGACAACAGTACTGTTCGATGTTGCAATTATTAATTTTATAAATTCCCACAGAGCGCCTTCAACCATAAATTGTATCAATTTGAGGGAGTTTATCAGGCTCTTGATAATAAGGCTGTTTTTTCGGTGCAACTCTATTAACAACAAAAGCACCTAGAAAAGTAGGGAAACCGTTTAAAAAAGGTTAAAGTTATAGGTTTTTGGTAATTGATAAATAATTTGTTGTGTTTTGTTAGCGGAAAAGCAACTTCATGGTTATGGGTAGGCCAGTATTTAAAGCTGTTTTGCGAAAGCAAACATAAATTTATTCAGCGAAAACTCAGAATATGTTGTGAAATTCATTAATAATAACTAAAAATAGTTAAAATTGTAGTATGTAATTAATTTTATTATTAATGACCAAATAAGCAAACATGTGGTTTCGTTTAAAATTTTTATTTTTTTATATTGGTCAGACAGAGGTGTAGAAATACCGAAGTGTGGTGGTTTGGGGTTATAGGCTCTCTCCCAGTCTTTGTCTTTGTATTTATTGTATTATTCTACAACAAGATTATGACACCGAAATTGTATAATAGTTTTTCCGAGTTGAAATTCTGCTTCCCTTATATGAGATAAGCAACTGCTTTTCAAGTCAGCTGTTATCGGATGGTCGATGTGGATGTGCTCTGTGGAAACACGAGTTTCACATTTGTCAAATATCCCAACTGTTCCCAAAGGAAGGACCTTTTGGGAAGAGGGTATAAGCACACTGTTATCGATTGAAAAACAAACTTGAAAACATCGTTCTCCGCTAGCATCGACATTTCTCCATCCCATCCCTAATTCGATTCTTCTTGTTGCACCACTGGTAATGACCACGCTTTATTTTCATTTATTAGCATTCTTTTTTTAGTGCCGAACCGAACAAAATAGTGAGTGAGAGGCATCTGCCTCTAGAGATTCTGGACATCATATTCAAGCAATTCTCTCTGAACGACAAACTCAGACTGGCCGATTCCCATCCAATTTTGGCAAAGGCATTAGCTTACCATGTCGGTGATCGCTTCAAGACAGTAAAACTATGTAAACCAGGGGATTGGTCACTAATTTTGCGGTTGTTGATCCAATGTGCTAGAAATTAATACGGGTAATCGTCTTGATATGTTTAAAAAATACAACTGCATTGCAAGAATCTCTAGTTTTTTAAAGCACGAGTTACTAGTAACAATGGCAATGCAATTTGTTCGTTGTTGGTAAAAGTGGATGGCTTGAAAAAATTCAGTATACCCTGCATGTTTTGCATCATTTGCCGTTTCTGAAAAAATTAAGGATAAGAGGAATACTGGACATAAAACGTGAGTTAGTACAAAGGTTAATGGTATGCACTTGTCATAATCAGTTTATGTACTTTCAGTTCATCTCATTCAGCAATTTAATTAATTTTACTGAAAAGAGTTGCAATATTTTAAATATGAATTTTTTTGAAATTTGTTCTATAAAAAAAATAAGTTCTCTGTGAGTATCCGGATTGAGTGCAACTAAACCATTTCGCAGTGAAGTTTTGTCATTTCAGTTATTGGAAAAGCTGACAGTCCGTCAATGCAGAATTTATCATGAATTTCCTCTATTTCCAATGCTTAAAAGTATTGAGATAGTAAACTGCATCGAAAGATATAATCCGAATCATGAAGTTTGGTTAACGAAACATGAACAAAGACTTTGCAAAAAGTAGTATTGACAGTTAACTACTTTTGCGAACCCAAATTGCTTTCTTTGTTAAAAAGCTGCAGGAACTTGAAATATCTTTCCCTGGAATCTAATTTATTTGAAACTATCTCAAGAATAGGCATGTCCCTATTTATTGACAATTTAAACGAGAACGGCGTCACTTCAGACAATCTATATGAACTGACAGTGGTCGGAAATACAGATATACGGGAACCGGCCAAAAAAGTTGTAAGAATTTATTCAAAGAAAAATTTACTCTAAATAAAATAATATAGGTACATTTGTACACAAGTAATAACATTTAAAATACCTTGCTACTCATATATTCTTCTTATTCTACATATTCTATTCTTTTTAGTTTGAAGAGGATTCCATCTCAGAGTTGTTACAATGCATTAGTTATACCTAAGTATCAACATTTAAAATACTAGTGGCCGTAGATACTATATTTATGGGAAAAGAAAAAAGAGAGTTAAAAGTGGTAAGAATTAAATTTAAAATATATTTTCTAACATTTTTTAATTTTTTACATAATTTAATTTTAAAGTGAATCAAAATAGGGAAAACAATATGAAATATTATTTAATTATTATTCTTAAAATAATTTTTTCTTTTCAGCTTGAAGAAGAGACCATCTCCGAGTTGTTACTACGTAGCACTATCATGGAAAGATAATAAATTTCAAGACAATTTTGTGAGTTATAAAAACATACACATATTTTCTTTACATTTGCAATCTAACCAAGTATTTAATGTTTGAGAAAATAACTGTAGGAGATCCCTATTACTTTTAACATCATTTGTTTAAAAATCACTTTAAACCTCGTTCAATAATTTTCATATTTACTTTGGACAAGAAATGTCTTAAAATTGGACAAAATATATATCTATTTTTGGGTACACATTACACATTTTTCTTCGGCATTGTTAAACATAAATAATAAAGTAGGCGCATTCGGAAAACACCGCAAATTAATGAAAACCCATATATTTATAATTTATATTTTAAAAAATCTTTATTTTTTCTGTCGTATTCATCATTGTATTTTTATAAATCAAAAAGACAAATTAACAAAGCCGTCGAAAATCGGAAGAAGCGACGTTGATTAATCTGTAAATTGAAAGGCTATTTTCTAGAAAGTTCCTTTTTGCCGTCGGTGAAAAATAATTCTTAAAACACAAAATTGAGTATGTCACCTTAGTTCTCTTCCCTCATTGTTTTGCGCTTGAGACTGTTTCCTGTGAATAAGCTGAAAAATTACTTGCCTTCAATAAATGAAAAATCATAGTGTTTTTTTTAATTTCGCATTTTTTGTTTTATTGACTTTTTTGTTTGACAAAAAATTGATGCAATTTTTAGCCAATTCAATTTCATTCTTTCCTGGGTTTCGTTCTTAGGAAAAACTTAGAAAAACATTGCTTACAAAAGAGCTTACAAACTATTACAGTGGTAATTCATTTAAATAGGCTTTAAGTGTAAATTATTTCTAAAGAAATTACAAATTTTATCTTTTCAAAAAAAGACCATACAAAATTGGGGATTTTATAAAATGATTTTTTGTTAAAATTTTTCTTTTGACTTTTTCTTTGTAGAAACAAAACCATTATCACAATCGCTTTGATGAGTAAACTAAAATTGGGTGGGTTCTGGGCCTGTATCCTTGACTGCTGTAGAAATCGAATGCCGTCGGCTGTTGAGTGATGACTGCTTTTTGTGTTGGCTCATGCTTATTTCTTTGTACTCTGGATTCTGGACTGGACTATTGGTTCTCCCCCGTAGTAGTTAGTTACTCGAATCTTTCACTGCGATGGCTTGCGGTATTTGCCGGACTTTCTTCCGGTCTTCGGCAGACATGGGCTGTACTGGCGTAGAGTTTCCAGGACAACGGTGGCCAGGAATCGCCACTGGGACTCTCGCAGGCGGAGAATCTGTTGCTCCTTTTGCTCCGCCTCCCGCAGCAGAGTCGCCTGGTCGGGTATATAAAATGCCACCGCCATTGTGGGTTTATCTCTCGATTCGGAATTACACAATTGCCAATGACTCAATGACTTTCTCTTCGGCACAATGAATATTTATCAAGTTAGTTCTTTGTTGTTGGCACACACACGTTGCTTTCGTATTTTCGAGTTCGTTCACTTTGTTCTGGTTTTTCTCTGTACTTCAAAGATATTTTCGAGATGCGTTCGCTGCGCTGGCTGGTTTCCAACTGGATATATTGAGTACTGCTCCGAGGCTATTTATACCAGGTTCTCTCGCGCCGCCTTGTGCTCTGTTTTTCTGGTGGTGACTGCTCTCTTTTTGGCCCTCATTCGCTCTTCTGCTCTCTGGCTGGGGTTTTTTTGTTTTGGTATTTTTGTTGACATCGCCTCATTCGCAGCTCCCAAAAAAAGTACTAATTTTTGATGTGGGCGGTAGGCGGGGCCACCTTGCGCCTGTTGCCAAGCGTGTTTTTTATGAGAGTGCGTTGTTGTTGTCAGGTTGTTGGCAGCGCCTTTGTTGTAACTGTGTGCGGCGAGAAGTACAGTTAGCATATTAATTGTATTAAATCGTCGGGGCATGACAAACGATTTCCATCAAGGAGTTCGACGGAGAAAGAGATATAAAAGGGGCTTAAGGACAGAAGTTTGAAATACCCTCTAGGATTAGTCGTTCATAAATCTGTTAGATCTCCCTGATTTTCAGCCAAAACTTCACAGGACAGCCTATAAGTACCAAATACAAAAGCATACTCGGTTTCATGTCGATATCTGCAAAAATAACCAAAATTTATTTAACATCATATCTTTAAAGTTATGCTTTTAAAACACTTCAGCAATCTATTTTTCGAAGTATAATACAATTACAAAAGCGTAATCAAGTACTTATTTGCTTGGATAAATGTAAAATATTTATAAAGTTAACCTTCTACACATCGTATAAGGAGAGCTTAAAAAATATTACATTTTATGAATTTTAGTTTTTTTATAATAACCTTATTCTTGATTACCTACTTATAACATCTCGACTTTCAATGAGATTGCAACTTATATTAAGTTTGCAAACTGTTAACTGTAATTAATCAACCCTCTTTTAAGGGTATAACGAAGAGAGCGGTTCGTGTGGGAGGCAGAATCACTTTGAAATATGGGCAAGTGGGCAAAGATGAGTCCCCATTTCTTTTATTTTTCTCTCTTTCTCTTCGACGAGCCCACCTGCCATAGCTAGATATATCTCTCTTTATCAGCATCTCGCGCTCTACAAATGTTTACACAATCATCTGAAGCTTCCGACTAAGAAATATGACAATCTTTCATAAATTAACGGTATACATGCCATATACAGTATATTGACAACAATGGGCTCGTCCCATCATATTTTATTTTTCGTGTGCAATTTTTATTTTCATTAGAGCGGAACAAGTCGGATACGATATGATGCGATATGAATGCTTTCACTGGAAATCATTTTCGTATTATACACGAAAATTTCACTGCGGATTAAAGTATTATTAATTAGCGTTCTGTTGGTTATTATATCCGAACAATGATACAGGAAGTTTTTATTTTTGAGTATCTTAAATCATTTATAATTTTGCATATTATAGGTTCATATTCCCTTCTTTTAGATCATATTATCATCTTCTGCTTGCGGTTTTATTTAAAAGCGATTGCAACCATTTTTCTTAGGCCTGTGCTGTTTGGATTTCATCCGTAAATGAAACTTCAATTGCAACTTTCTCTTTGATGACGTAAAAACTTATTCTTTCTTAGTCACTAGTTAGTTTCATGAAAAATGTGTGAATTGTAGTTGTATGGCAGAACTTTAAATGTAATTTTTTCTTTGAAGTTATAAGAAATGCAATCTAAAAAGTCTATTATTATAAATTATTATTTTGACTTTAATTGAAATCCCTGAACTATTATTCCCATTTCACGGCAATTTTTTACCCCACCTCGGAGTTGCTAGTTCCATTTAAACTCCACCCACAATGACGTCGCACTGTACCCACACAGGCAAACAACCGAATCTTACGGCGTGCGTCTCAAGTGTTTCCACTGTGATAGAGACTAGCCACCACTTTGGGGGATGTTCTGCGTCATCATCTATAGCGACTACTTACCTCTCCAGCTCCGATGTCTAGGTCTATTGTTGAAGGAACTACTCTACTTTCCTCTGCCGTGCTCGCTCTCTTTCTCTCATCGCGCCATCCCACTCGCACAGCAGCAACATTCGCCTCTATAGTTCTTTTTTCATGGGTCTTTTCTTTCCGGGTTCGCGTCAACATATATAAATCCGGGAAGGTTGGGCGTGGCTTACTTCCTAACAGCGTTTTATGCTCCAGCGGGCCAAAAGAGGAAGCCAAAAAATGAGCATTTCCCTCTCTTTCACACGTTTTGGGGGACCAATGTGGTTCAAGTTGGAAATTTATGTTTTGGGTCTGCTTCGCTTTCTGGGGCGGAGTTTATTTTGGGACCTTTTTTTTTTGGATGTAGCTGAATCATTGCCAAAGAGGGTGGAGCCTGAAAGGGTCTTAGGTTAACCGGAATATGGCCAACATTATCCCTTAAATGTGTGCCCTTAACCTTAACCTGCGGTAATTTGCGCATTAAGCATAATTGAGGCTCTCGAATGTCAATTAGTTCGATGATTAACCTCTTGAATACCTTAACACAAACATACTTCTGTTTTTCTTTCGCCGAGATAGTCATCGAAATTTCTAATTGCCCAATGAGGCGAAATTTTCAATCTCAAAGATACATCTAGGTTTTTGTTTACTTTAGATTTTCTTAAAGGATTACATGATTTCGGTTCCTTGGTTCTCATGCGGGTAATTACTGCAACTTTTATTCAAATTATTCTGGGTTTTATTGGGTTGCAACAAGTAAACAGGATTATTGACATGTTTAAGAACCCATATATCATTTGCATAGCTAATTGCCTGACTTTAAATGCAACTTGTGTCTTGTGGCATATTGAGTTTGTCAAATTGGATTACAATTTCTCAGATTGAGTTTTCAATCTGCATGTTAAATGACCCACATGATATCGCATTCATTCCTGGGAAGTGTGTCAATCGAATTTTCGATCTACCCGGAAGTTTCCCGATCCCGTTTCTGATTGGGATTCCAGAAATTCACTTTACATTTCATGAGGCAGCTAACGAGATATTCCCAAATGAAAGCAAAATTTTTAGCGATAATTTCATCATTTTTTTTTCGGTCCATCTTCTGACGTGTCTCAGTCTTTGTCTGGGACTGCCTCAAAACGTTATATCTTACACACCCCATATATGTATAAGAAACATTCGTAACATACACGAATGCTAATGAGTAATATCAACAATGCGATAACTTGCGCAACTCGGCGGGATTTTTTGCTCTTATTTTACTGTACCGGTTTGCAGGGTATCGAGATTTTTCATGAAAATAATTTAACACCACAAAATTATATTGAGGCTATATTTTGTTAAAAACCATAGTTAAACTGTTAGAACTCGTTGAGTTAAAGATAAATTAGATATAGTATAAAAGTCTGGTATTGATTTAATACTTAATAACATCAAGTAGGTACTTTGTATTATTAATTGGATACTAAGTATTGCTAAGTCAATGTTTTGTAGTTTTTATTGTATATAGAAATATTACTTTTAAATACTTGCGAAAGTAATAATTTAATACTATAATAATTAAGATATTTTTGAAAATTAATAGTTTAGTTTCAATGCTGTTTTTCCCTCTATGTACTTCAAATACGAACAGCTATTCATGTTATGGAACAAGTTTATCATTTTGGAATAATGCGGCTTTCTCTGTTTTTATTTTATTTTATTTTTTTATAGTTTTATTATAATTTATACGTATTATGTTTTTCAATAAGATCACTGTTTTTACAGGTATTTCGTAAAACAATTATTATAACCTGTGAAACGATTGTTGATAAATTTATAATAATTAATAATCCTAAAAAAAACAATTTCTATTTATTGCCATCGACTTTATCTTTGTTTATACAGTAACATATTAAAAAATAATTAGGTCATCATCGTCATTCATTCTTAAAGTTCCCTCTCAATTTCATTTCCTTAGTCAGGTTGGTTCCTCCACCCTCCTTTCCTTGTTTAATTTTATTCCAAGAATTGCGCAACGTTCTTCATAAGAGCCCAAAATATTGTAATCTCTTTGTTGCTCCCGCACTGTTTTCAATCTCGAAAACTCTCAATTTCTCACACATTGGTGCTTGTGTATCTTTTTCTGCTGCGGCTTCGTTTCGTTAATTTGTGTTAATTTTTTATGATCCCAACTGGTGGTCTGGTTGGGTCCGCTTTTCGATCTTGTCAGAAATGTATATTTTGTTTTATTTGATTTCCCATTTAGAAAACCCGAACTGGGAAAAAGAAACAAAGACAATTGCCAAGTGATCCGTAGCACTCGGGTCATTAACTCACTCTCCTACCTTTTTTCGTAGCCCCTATCCCCTTTATTCACTCATTTTGTAACGCCTGTCATTGAGGGCTGCTTAGGCAGACGATCCGAAGCGATCTCCAGCGATCCGATCGTCTGGGTCGGAAGCTTAAAGCGCGCACCGCCAGGGAGCTACGATTCCCAGACCCCAGACCCAAGACCCAAGACCCGATTCTCGGGATGAGTCATACGCTCGAACACATCGTTGGATGGGGAACGCCGCGCATGCTCTCATTCCACTGCCCAAAACGAGACCCATTTAATGTTGTTTAACGACTGTTTGTAGCCGGTGTGCTCTCCGCTTTTGATACCCAATAAAGGAAGATATCAGGGGTATAATAGGTATTATGATAATAATTAAACAACCTAATTTGTAATGCAAATTCGTTAGCGTTTACATTATGTATAATTTATATTAACGTTTTTATTAAGTCGATGAATATCTCTAAAACTCTATTCTACCCTTACTCTCCAATATATTAAGGCCAAAATTATTGATCAGAAATATTATATTCCGAATTCAAATACCGTGATTTAAAAATGATTCAAATATTATTTGAGATATAAGGAATTAAGAGGTGTCGCTTAGTCATTAGTCCTTAACAATCTCACTTGTTTTTCGCTGGTGATATCCGAGTGGTTGGGGTTTTCGGAGGGCAGGTTTGGTGGGGTCTTTGATGATCGTCTCGCCGTCTGGCCGCTTGGGTAGAACATGTGCATAACTGTGTTCGGGATTCGGACACTGGTCCTCGACCC